TAGATTAAATTTCCTAGTTGCATCACTTAAATAATAAAAGTAATTTCTTGCCTGCTGAGCTTTAACCGACAAATAGTGATGAACATAGAGAAGAGCACAAAGAACTCCGAAATATTGTTCATCTCCTTGACCTATGATGCGCTGAAACTAACAATTTCTAAACGCATCGCGCCAAAAAATATAATTTTACGTTTTCAATGAAAAAGCACCCGGTTTTACTACCCCTGAAATGTTTCAATGGGGCAGCTCGTGATTTTCAGTCCCAATAAATAAATCTTTTATAGTGCAAATATTCCTTGAAATACCGTAACGGATTATTTAAATTCTCCTAAAATTGCTACTGAGCGAGACACGCAAGCCTGCAATGCGGAATACTGTTTTTTATCCGACCTGACGACTGCCAATAACAAGAATGCTGGACATCAACTTCCGATATTGAAAAGCCGGACAGCCTCGCTCACCGCTGGACCACCATACACTGCACCAGGTATTCAAGGAGTCCACGGAAATTCCATCTTTTGAAAATCGTATTTCGTTAAATTCCAGTGTATTTTTCTTCAACATTGTATGTTATCACTTTACACTGTTTGAAAATGAATACAGCATATAACAATAAAAAAATTTAATCTAAATAAAGAAACGATTTTTTCAAATTTTGATACAAGAAGCTGACACTCTGGCCGACAAGTTCATATAAAACATCTCAAGCCATTTAGTAAACGTCTTCAGTAAAACTGATGCAACGAGCAAGACATAAATCCCAACCTGAATTCTTCCGGCATTCTAGCCGTATTGTTGCAAAAGTAAGAAATTCACACCTAGAATTTTTTTAATTTACAGACACGTGAATCTTGACAAAGAATAGGTTTTCTCGGCAGTTTCCTCCAGCAGGCAGGACGCAACGATGACTCCCAGAATAAAAGGAGCCACGTTGCGAAAATTATGAGGTCGTTTCCGAGTGCCATTACTTTTGTTGCGATCGATTTCTTTGTGTAACTGAACGCAGGTGAGCTGAATCAATATATAGCGAGTACCGGGTAATCCAGCTGATGAATGTGAAGCACGCAATGAGTAATCGTTTTATAGCGTCTTGATTTCGGAGATATTGTTGAACAACTTCAAACTCGGCTATCGAAATCTTTTCTGAAGATGTTCCACTGTATATAAACATTCTTTATATTTATAATCACTTGGAAAATTTTCTCATCCTGACTATTAAATCACCAAAGATCGACATTAACACTGATATCAGCAGGGGTACTTTTATCGAGCATTACTTCTTAAAAATATCTGGACACGATAAAGAATGAACGAAAAAGAGATGCACATATTTTATTTCGCGGCATATTTTTCATCGCAATACACCTCACCTTAGGGACACTTGTTTTGTTATTTGTTATTATTCAACATTTGTAATTTTTCCGTGTAATCTTTTTTGTAAACCTAGGTTAGGATGATCTTGTGAGGTTTAAGTAACATCGCTCCCTACTTTAATTGGATGATAATTAATAACCTGAAGACCGTGACTCAGCACAATAATGACAGGGCATGTCCCGTTCAAATGCTCACAATCAAAGCTCCCCTGCAGCCATTCAGAGTTCAGACCCGCAGCCATTCAGACCTGGAGTGTAGGGAATGAATAAGCGAGAGCCAACCTTATACTCTTGAATAAATATGAATAACTACATTAGTTATTCATATATGGGTTAAAAAACGGCAATGTATACACAGCAATTGCAAGATGAATTGAGAGCAGTCCATTTTCCTTTGTAGTATTCCTGCAAATCAAATTGGGGCTCAAAATCGTAACTATTAATCGAGAATAATGTGGTATAATTTTATTATATCACAATTACAATCTTGTGGCAGAAACGTGTTATTTTCCTTGATCGTATATCAGGTTAATGTGAATTAATTATTTGTTTTGCAGTGCAAGTATTTCAACCGGATTCTGACATGTATTTTTAAGAAATTGGTGCTTTAAGGAATTCTTTTGATGAAATTCATCAAAGAGAATGTCTCTCGAGCAACACACTGCGATAACGACTTTAAAGTTCCTGGTCAAAAAGAGACCTCGAAAACCAAGAAGAAGAAGTCTTGTTGAGCTCTTCAAGGCAACTACATCTGCCAAGGACAACAAGGCTGGGTGGCAGTGGGAGTTTTCCGCCAAGAAGAGCAGACCAAGAAGCAGTCTTTCTGTCCTCGAGGAACATGGAATGTGGCTTATTTGCGTCCAAATTAAGCAGATCAGAGGCCCTGTTAGGGAGTCAACTGGCTTTTGTTTACGACGTTCGCGTGTCCCGAGCTCAGCTGCACAAAATTCCTAATGAATCCAACAAAATTTTTCCCAAATTTAAATTATATTCGCCACCATTGTACGCCATTTATAGCTATGCTCGTACGTAATATATACTTTTATTTTTATTTATTCATTGATTGATTTGTGACCTAAACGCTGCCCACTGAATTTCCAGAAACATAAATTCTTCCCACTTATAAATGACGTCATTTTTTTATTGTGTATGGCCACAATAAATTTTTTATTCTGCAGTAGTTGTAGTTGATTCTTGTCTCTAATTATGAAGAGCACTTTACGGGATCCTAACAGTGAATTAAAGTTAGACATAGCAACGAGCAGAGACAAATGGAAAATGGCAACAAGCCATGGCAACAAGATAAATAGAAAATGAGCTCTGCCGCAGTCATCAATCAAGGTTAGGACTTGGCGGCGACTGCAGCCAGAAAGCTCGCCAGTTTCCTTGTTAATCAAAAGCGCATTAACGTCTGGGGGCTTAGGTTGTGGGCGCTACGCAATGGACTTAAGTCGTTCTGACATCCACGGAAAATGTATTGTTCTGAGTTCTTCAAATTTTTCCTACCAACAATAACACTGATAAGTGGCACATTTGTATCGAACTTTTTCATACCCTCACAAAATCCTAGACGAAACAGCGCCCGACATAAGCTTTTCAGCGGTTAATTTCGTTCGTATTCGATATTAATGAGTTTGTGTGACTGTATGACGTCCTTTAATTCATTTAAATCTTTCATTGTCAATCAGTGATTTCTTATCATTCTATTATCCATCATAATGTATGTAAGTTTGTATTATATTAACGGGGCGGACCAATAAAAAAATTAGACTTCACAATCCTTATAAAAATCCTTCACAATCCTTATCCACTAAAGTTGTATTCTCAAACTATTACTCAGTCATGAGGATAAAATTATATGCACATTGAATTACATAGTATCATTGGCTCTAATAAGCTAATTAAAAAGGGAACGATTTAAATAAAAATCAATCGAACCAAGTTTCCAAATAATGGCTTCCGAGAAGGAGAAAGCGACACTTTTATTCCTTCCTTGGAAAGCTTATGGCTGCCGCACACAAACAAATTTAATGAGTCGTCTAAAGTCGTCTGCTTCAAATGGCGCAGCAGCGCCAGGGCTGCTAAAATAGCTCATTTGAAGCCTTTAATATCACGAGTTCGTGGCGATATTAGACTCCTCTTGGCGCTGTGGGATTCTCGGTGATCTCATTACCATAACAACGTAAGCCTTATGATTAAAATTCGGATTGAACTGACATTTTTCAATTGACCTACTTGACTTTTGGCCGCTCATAATTATTAACAACATTTTTGGGCTGATAGCAAGTTTTTCGAAGCCTAATGTTGATATTTCAGCCAGCTGTATCGTGATCAGATGCCATCAGTTCGATTATTCGGTAAAAGCATATTGTCAGGATTAGATCTCTTCTCTGGAGCAATCTATTTTGTTTAATTAGATTCAAACCACAGAGGTAACACTTTATTTCGGTGCCACTAGTTGCCCACCTAAGTTTTACTGACTCAGTGGTTAGCTGAAATTTCAGTGCGTGCCGCACGTAATGTCTGATAAAATTGAATATACAGTATTAGTCGCATCAGTCTGAATGATTTTTTTTTCTAAAAATCCTGCAAACAAAACAAAAACATAAGGTGATGCGCAAAATAAAGACTGAAAATCCCATATCCTTCAGCCTCAAACATTGGTGTTGCTCTTTCATTTTAATGATAAACCTAATTCATAGCTTAATATTAGTATATAATATGAGCCTTGTATTGAAAATACCACATAAAAAAACTTAATACTGATATCTAAAACGATCCCCAGAACTAAGAGGAAAAATAAATGTGTTGCGAAAGGTTACAGAAAATTGCAAAGGTATCTAACAAAGTCTTTTTGTGTTAAATTTATTTATTTATTTTTTGCTCTCTCACCGTAGTTCAGTGGCTCACGAGACAATAATTTGTCTAATAAGTACTAAGCAAATTCTTCAACTATGAAAATAAATGAATGTATATATGAAGTATTCCGTCCACGAAGGCGGCTTGATCTCGCATAGCCGCAAGGCTCCGAACTTTTGCGACAGCTTGAAGGAAATTTCCATTCAGGAGCCTAACTTATAATTAAATGAATTGAACGTTGTTGATTCAGGAGGCTGGAATTTTTAATTAAAAAATTTTTGTTAATTAGCGCAAAATTATTACTTATATTTCCCCACAATGCTGGCCAAGATTATTTCAATTTGTTATTATTAGCCTTAATATAACACAAAATCACAGTTTGTAATTCCGTTCGAGAGGAAAAATTAATAATTAATTTACAAAACACTTGACATAGGCATTATTTATATGATCATTAATTTATTTGATGTATATGGAGATCTCTTCCAATTGTCAGTGGATTCTTGCAAAAATAACATTTTGTCATCGTCATGCAGAACAAGTCTGCGGTCTTTACAGCCAGTATTAAACTTACTCGTTTATTTCCCTGGCAAATATGTTCATACGTGGTAAAATTGTAGGTAAATGATATTTTTCTTGCATTTTACCTTCGTTTCCCAGTGACACATGCTCTAGCCTTCAGTCAACCCATTGTTATTTCGAACAAAAAAAATGGATTAAAGTTCGTTTACAAAATATTCACAATCGTGCAGACTTATTTACCCTTACCTTATTCATCCCATTTCCCATGGTGAAAGATTTCAAAGGCACCTTCCGACGTCCCAAAAATTGAACGACGTGGGAAAGCTGCTACTTTCCATTTGAAAACACCAGAAGTAAGTGAATTTGATTCTTTTATGGCGCTGCTTGAAATTATGTTGCACGAAATAATCAAACAAAACTGCAGTCAATTCGATCGCCAGTAGCAACTCGTTAGCAGTAGTAACCACAGTAAATCGTTAGCAGTAGTAACCACAGTAACTCGTTAGTAATAGTCAGTCCAGAATTCACAGTTGTCCACAGAAAGTAGGAGAAAGTTATGTTCCAGCATCAAGACCAGAGCTCGGTGCTAGGAGGCTCAATACGTTCGCACAAACTGTAGATTCAAGTCTCTGGAATTGGTGGTAGCGAGACTGCACTTGGGCATTGTAAAGCAGTAATTTGACTTGGCCAATGGCAACTTCAAATGATCAAAGAAAAATGATCCCGTGGTTCCGTTCGATACCGTAGAAAAAATAACGTGATAAGTGATTAGTTATGAATGGAACAGCTGGTATACATTATAAGCTGCCGGGCGTGGTGAGCCGACACAGCGAACGTATGTTTCCTCGCCGGCGTCGCGTGAGGCACTGAACAACTGGCACTGAACCAAGCTCAGGACGCGACATGAGGGGTATTGTGGCAGTGCCGTCTGCAGGGCCTGCCTCTGCGCCAGCCTTACGCCCTCCGGCTAAGCCACTCAGCCATGTGGTGCAAACCACTCACGTAGAACTAAATTATGTAATGTAAACTACTCAGCCAACTGGTGCAAGCTGCTCAACCATGTGGAGCAAACCACTCAGCCATGTGATGTAAACTACTCAGCCAACTAGTGCAAACTACTCAGCCTCGTGATGCAAGCCATTCAGCCGTGTGATGCAAACCATTCAGCCGTGTGATGCAAACCATTCAGCCGCGTGTTGCATTCCACTCAGTCAGACGCAGTATGAAAATTCAGTTAATAGGCCGCTCGGTCATTTTTGCTGTGTATGCCAATGCAATTCACTGTTCAATTTATTGAAGGAATACAAAATTTTATAACAGTTATTTCATCTAACTACAAGCAAATAACGCTATAAATTCTTATGTTTAATGACCTGTACAACCTCGGAAATTGAGATTTAGATTTATGAGCTATAAAAATTGTAACTCGAGCGTCCGCGTACAAAATTGAATCAATAACGGGAAAATATTAAGTAAATATTTTCACTGATTTCTAAATTTAAATTTAGACCCTTAATAGAAATTTAACGATCAATTAATATATTTTACTCACAAGGCAAAGCAGATATCTTCCAATTATAAAAAAATACCTTGCAGCTTAAATTGGCATTGCCCAGGACTAATTTTACTTCACATCGTGCCACAGTATTCATTTAGTGATCATATTATCGAACGACCACATCAAAATTTGAGAGTACCGTTATCCCGACTACCATTATATCAAATTCCGCTATTACGGATCTCGTAGGTAATAAAAGAACTAAAGTGTCGTAAATAAGAGATGTCAGCGATATCCATCGTGTGCTCAAGATCTCTTTAATACTGTAATTCATGGCTGTTCATGCTGTCGTATTGTAAAATTTCTGTGAGTTACACCGAAATTTGAATATCATTTTGGTGTATATGTTTGCCTACAGCGCTTGTTTTTATCATACTTAATTTTCAAATTTAGCAATCAAACACTAAAGACTTCACGAATCTGTCTTGCTGAAATCGTGGGTCAGCCTTAAATTTTTGATAAGCCATGGCATAATTTGGGCTAACTTCCAGAAATGTTTATTTGTAGAAATTTGTATAATCTGAGACGAAGTTTGTTGAAAAGAAAGTTCCCAAACTACTTATTTCTTTCTATATTTCTATGTTCGACCAATTTAGTGTGCACTTGTCATTTCTGGAGTAGTAGATATTTAAAATTTATCGGTTTAAATATTTTCACTTCATCTTGATCACTCTCATATCTATCTAAGTTGTATTTCACTAATTCCTCGAACGACTCATTCTGATGGTGTTTAAACCATTATATTCATTTAACAGTATTATTATAAAATGAATTTCATGAATATGATAGTTATTACATTCATTGAATGCAAAATAATTTCTATAAATAATTCCATTTGGGCCTTGAAATAATTTATTTTGTAATAGAAAAGATTTAACTGTTATTTATTCGAAATTATCTCTGTCCTCCAAACATTTCAATGCCACTCCATTTAATTTGTGCGCCTTTTTTGACTGTAAGGCGATCGTCCGGCCCTCTTTGAATTTTCCATTGCGTTTGGAATTTATGATCAACATATTCATTTATTCTATATCTACTGCTCGCATCTGAAGATAAAATGAATCGAAATATTACATTTGACCCTTTTTGTCCTCCATTTGCTGCATTTGACTTCATGAAAGCCTCTTAGGTACATTGAAAAGAATTGGCTCTTATCTTCTGCGTTTATCTTTGATGGAAACAAACTGCAGGCAATCTGGACTGTTGCCTGAACCATTTGCTTCTGGCCGGGCGCGGTGATCGCTTCACGAGCTCGGATGAATGCTGCATCAGCAAAATATCTTCCATGGCTTTGCTTCTAGCACGAATTACATGTAGTTATACACTACATTGAAACAATTTTGCTACCATAGGATCTTTCAGCATCAAATTTCGGAAAAGGTATACGGACAATTGATACGGCACGAATAAATTTTTACTGCAGACCCCAAGAAACAAACATATGACGCATATTTTGTTTATATCGTGTTGAAGATAAAACATTATTGAAAGTTCTGTAATCAAATATCATGACTCGAACGAATCACTATCATAAACAGAATTTTTCTCTTCGAATTTACAAGTTAACTTCCCAGAAAATTTTATATTATTTATTCGTATTGAAGTGCATGTTATTGCATACAAATAATGTGAAGTCTTTGGACAGATCTGAATGATGTTATCATTGAACTCTTTGAAGCTCATGGTCTACGAGTTGCAAAGTGCATCTCAATTGTATTCTCAATAGAAGTTATTTTGCTCGGCCCTCGACGAGTTAGTCACTGGAACGAAGGTTAGGGCATAGAAGTCATCTGATGTTTTTCGTTAATGTTGAAATTATCTGCATTTAGAGGCCAGAATGTTGTTGATTATGTTGGTACTTTATAAAATCAAATTGACGAAGCAAAAAAATTATTAAGCAAATTGATTAAAGTCTGTTAGCGATAATTTAACAATCGCAGGATTGAAGCCACTGTAAAATATTGCATTATTTTGTTGGCGCCATTAACCGTGCTGCAATCTGCGTGATACTACAAATTAAATATTCTAAATTAAGAGGATCTAATTATGGAAGCAGCTGAATTGGAATTTGTTGACTTACGTTAAGGTAAACTGGACCCCCAGCAGTGATGTCTAGACCGATGAACACCGGCCAGTATCCCTCCGCCAACCTGAGCCAGGGCAAAGGAACCGAGGTGTAACTCTAATAACGTATAGATGTTTAAATTCTTAAAATATTTGGCCAACATATTTATACTCCCAATACGCTGGTATATTCTGCCTCTATGATATTTTATATTAATTATTGTTAAATGTCTACAGTATTTTACTGATTATAATACATGGATAATCATTGCGTGTTTATTCAGAACGGAATATTAGACTAATGATTACTTTGAGAAATATTTTTTCGAGTTTATTTTTGAGACAGGAGCGCAAACATCATGTCTTAAAGCAGAAATTCCGCTTAAATAAAACAGTCGGTAATCTAGATTCTACCGGGTGAGAAAAATTAAAGCTTTTTGAGTATGACTCACCTACATCCTGCTCCGTGCCTCGCTCTGGTTGGTAAGCTCGCGTGTCGTGTTATCACGCTCGCCGAGTCTTGTTTTGTGCCGTGGTAATGTTCAAGGATTCCGGCCCGTCCTTTTCTTGCTAAGGAATCTCGTAGGAATATTTCAGAATGGCTTTTCTTCTCAGTCCGTTGAACTGAGGGATTATTGAGGAAAGAACCGCACTCAAAAGATGGCCTGTTTACGCCCTTGAAGCGGCGCTCGCTTGCCACGGCTGCAGTGCTGGACAAATGGTCTTGTTGTGCCGGCAACGTGACGGGCAAAGAGAGGAAGTCTGTGGACTGGTGTTCGGGGACTTGCTCACGTAAATTGAGTGAGCTTGAAAATAAAATATCATTTACATTACCCGCAGTCCTATTACGAAAATATTTCGAAAGCAAGTTTTGGGAGGAAATTGGGCCCTGAAGCGCAAGAGGAGGTTCGTTTGGACCGTGGCTGCCGAAAACACCTTCATAGAAAGACGATTTCTGCAATGGGTTGTCGCCAAAATGGAATTCAGCTTTTTCCAAACGAACTCGTTCCTGTTTTTGGACTGGAAACTTAGTAGCGGGAAACTTCATACAGCGTTTTGGCGAGAACGGAGATCGCATTACGAGAGCGTCGGAAGAAGCTATCATTGTGTAACCTTGCGTCAACAGCCGGTTCGGTTTTTGTTTGTGGGTGGGTGCTGCCATAGTCGCATTTCCTGCAAGAAAAGTTTTTTCCTGAATCGAGCTTGGCCTGTAATCTACACTTTGATCGTCAATTCGCGATGCAAGTTCCTGTTTTTTCATATCATTTTTAGTCATATTATCGGCTTCATTTTGTTTCTTTATTGAGTTTCTGATGAACTGGGAGTATAGATGACGCTGGCCGTAAGTTATCGAGCAAACGCGGTTGTTTTTCGTCTCTCCAGCGATGCCGAGTTTGCCACAGCGGATGTCGACAGAATCGGTTTTGTTCTTCCATTCAGTCTTCCAACCAGAGCCAGTTCGGTTTATCTTATCATCATCACTGACGTTATCAATGTAGCAGAGTCTAGCACGAACCGTCTGTAATCTATTCTCAGATCGAGCTTCTTGCTTGTCTGAATAATTGTGTGGCGCGAATTTATTCATATTTAATCTCGGGGAAATCTCTTGAGAATTTGATTTTTTGCCACTTCCAGCGGTTGGTATCTCCATTGATTTCGATTCATGATTAAGTTCAGTCAAATTATTATCGTTAACAAACTGTTCTGAAACTTTACCTGCTTGAAATTTTTGATTGATTTTTTTCTCATCCATTGAAGTTTTTCGTATTTTCGTGCTGCTTTCTGTAAGAAATTTATCTCTTTTTTCATTCCCGTAATCAGCCTGCGTCACGCTCTTAACGGTGAGATCATATTGCTTCTCTCCATTGACGATCATTTCATACCGTTTTCCTCCTCCACCTTTCTCATAAATCTTGATTAATTTTTTTACCTCTGCTTCCGCAGGCAGCCCGGGTTCTATTCCTTTCTGTTGTCCGCAAATTCCACAGCCGGAACAATGTCCATATTTTTCCCCGCAGTCGCAGCAGCGTTCCCCAGGACATGTAAGTGCGATCAAATTAGATCGCACGCTGACCTCACTCTTCGGTCCTGCAGACTTTTGTTTGCCTGAACATCCCAAGCAAGATGAATGAGTCTCTGTTGTATTGAGTGGCTCTAAATCAGTGGCCTCATAAAAGTCTGGTTTCAATTTTTGACATAAATTATTCTGAAGCGGTTCA